GGGGCCCTCGTGTATTCAGAGAAGTAGAAAGACTCCAAAGCCTGAAAGCCTGGGATTTCTTCAGAGAAAGTGAAGTTGGAGCTTGTAAACGTGAGTACAGATCTAAGAGGGTTACAGGCCAGCTCAGGATTCTTCATCCATGACGTCTAGAATGTTGCTCAGGAGAATTTTGAATGTGGGGCGTTCATCTGCTTTCTGAAACCAAAGAAAAGTGGAGTGTTACTGTAGCTAGATTCCAAGGGGAAAGCAATAGTAAGCAACAGTGATAGGTGTTTTCAGGTGATCCATGCAGCAGACAGACAGACAGAAGGAAGAGGGGAAAGGGGCTTTATTTTCTTTGAGGACACTGAGAGAATGTGGAGAAGGATGAGGAATTCTCTCTGGATTGGAACAAAGGGAGGCTGAGGCTTTTATGGCCTTTTGTCAGGGGTGGGGCTTGAGGGGGACATCTAGATACACCTGAGAGAGCTGACAAGAGCCTTCCCTGAGGTGGTGGGAAGGCTGAAAGGAAATTGTGTCTTGGGCTAAGTTGGAGAAGAAGGTGGAGGTGGTCTTGGGGAAATGGGCTTTGTTTTAAGGGCTTCAGCCATATTAGATGACCACCATGATGATTTTAGCAATTCGTACTAGGGCCTGAACCAGCAACCAAAGGTTTGTTAAGTATATATTATATGGGGGACCCGCCCATTAGCTCAGTTGTTTAAGTGCCTGCTTAAGAAAGCAGTGAGGTGCAAGTTGCACTGGTTCGAACCCAGATGAGCCCACCAAACCAGAAGTGACCTGAAGGTGTGTTCAGGCCTCAAAAAAAAATTCCTTCTGCCATTTTGGGGCCGGGGAGATGGCTCAGTGGAATAAGCGCTTCGCTGGCAAGTGCAAGGGCCTGAGTTCGATCCCTGGTTCTGCCAAAACACACACACACACACACACACACACCTATTATATGCCCAACAGCATACCTTGTTGATTACCAATAAAGGAGAACAGCAGGGATAGCCATTCTTGGGCTGAGGATGTAGCTCAATCATGGAGCACTTGCCTAGCATGCAGGAGGATCTAGGTTTGATGACCAGAACCACCAAAAATAAACAGCTCTCATAAGTAAATCTTGGTGTGCTTTGTATCTTTTGTAACTCAGGTTATTAGTGTAATAAGAACAATTTGCAAATGAAACATTGATTTAAACTAAGGGCTAAGGCTGGGGAGAAAGCTCCGTGGTCTTAATGCCTCCCTGGCAAGCGCAAGAACCTGGGCTTTGATCCCCCACACACATGCCCTGCTGGCCCTGGAACCCCAGGGAATGGTAGTGCACCCCTGTAATTCCAGCACTGGGGAGACTAACAAAGGGGGATCACTACAAGTCTGAGCTGTGTAGTGAGATCCTGTACCAAATAAATAAATAAATAAATAAATTTTTAAAAATAAAATAAGGGCTAGTGTATTATACAATACATAATGTATTATTTTAGAGCTGTAGGAGAAAAATGAGTACCAAACATGTTTAAGTAGCTGACAGAACAGAAATCCTACAAGCTACAAAAATGTAAACTTAAACACTCCAATCAATCCAAAACCACAATGAATAAAGAACTTTACATTTCAAAAACCACAGATTGTGTGGGCTGGAGCCCTGAGCACCAGGGTCCTTCTGTTAGTGTGGCTTCCCAACTAAGGCTGTTTTTTGACAGTTATGGTCCATAAACCCCGGAGGTATTTGATGACCCAGGAACAGTTCATGCCAGCATGGTCTAGATCTATCAGAACCAAAAGGTCATCAGTTTCTCGGTTCTTTGAATCAATGGCTCTCAAAAGTAACTGAGTTCTACATCAGAATTTCCTGGGAAGTTTAAAAAGATTTCTGGATTCCATTTCAGACAAACCTGGTCAGAATTTCTGGGGAAGAGGACCAGTAATCTATATTTTTAAGAGTTTCTTAGGGATTCTGATGTATATCTACTTTTCTGACCAATACTTTATTTATTTATTTATTTACTTTTTTCTGTATTTAGGACAAGGTCTAGAGGGCCTCACTACTATGTAGATGGAATTTGTAGTGATTCTCCTGTTCTCAGCCTACTAAACACTGGGATTACCGGTGTGCCCCACCACGCCCAGTCTCACTGTCTCAGCATACCCTGGGGGGGGGGGCGAGTCAGCAGGGCGTGCTGGGGATTGAACCCCAGCCACTATGTTCTGCCAAAGCAGATGCTTTAGTCCGCTGAGCTATCAGGCCAGCCCATGACCACTACCTTAAATGGACTGGGCGAAGGTGCCATCTGAAATACAGTGGTTTGATTTTGTTTTTATTGGTACTTTCAATTTTTAATTGTACACTGTAGATGTACATAGTGATAATTTATCATAGGGAATTTGTATCTGCACATGGTTTAACTTGCTTCCTCTTTTTTTACCCATTCCCCTCCCCTCCCTCAGCCCCTCCTCCCCTCTTTATTGACAAAAACCTTATGAAATAGAGTAGTTTTTAACAAGATGAGTGAAGATGTCCTGGTTACAAGGGTCGGAGCATATTTAATGAGTCCTACTCCTTAATCACACAGTGAAAAGAAGGAAAATTACTCCAAAGAGTTTTCCCTTCCTCCACACTTCCTTTGTGACCTCTGTCATGTGTTCTAAGGGAAAGGAGCTATGCGCTGCTGATTCAAATATCCACTTTCGTGTCACCAGGAGGATTCCAGAATCACACAGGTACTTGTTAAAGACTTTCCCATTTCTGGAGGAGCAGAGCTAAGAGCTGAATCAATCTTTCTTTCTTTCTTTCTTTCTTTCTTTCTTTCTTTCTTTCTTTCTTTCTTTTTCTTTTTCTTTTTTTACAGTGTCTACCTATGCAGTTCGGGCTGGCCTTGTGCTCACTTTTGTAGTCCCCAGGCTGGTCTCAAAGTGATCCTCCTCCTATCTCAACCTCCCTGTGCTGGGAGTGCTGGGATTACAGGAATGCGTCACCACAATGGTTCTGCATGGGGGTCCGAGATTGAACTTGGCACCTTCGCTTGCCAGGAAAGTGTGCCTCTGAGCTCTCTCCTCTGTCCCTGAGCATTTATTTCTGACTAATAAGTGGGGGTGCCAAATTCAGGTTGACAAATATTTACTGAAAAGTGGAGGGACCACCTTAAAAATAGCCTAAAGGGAGAGCAAAAATTATTATTATTATTTTGGGGGATCTACCAGTTAGCTCAGTTGTTTAAGCACTTGCTTAGGCAAAGGCAGTCAGGTGCAGGATAGCACGCTTTGGTTCAATCCCCAGCTCCTCATGCCTTACCAGACCCACCCTTAAGATAGCCTGAGCCAGCCAAAAAAATTTTTTTTAATTTTTTGTTTATTTATTTTGTACATGATCTCCTATGCAGCAGCTGGGACTCATAGTGATCCTCCAGTCTCAGCCTCACAAACACTGGGATTACAAGTGTGCACCACCAGCCCAGTTTCTGGGCAAGAAGGACAAGCAGTATCGGGGCTCTAACTCTGGTCCTTGCGTTTGCCACTCAGGTGCTTAGTCCACCAAGCTATCTCCCTAGCCCTCATTATTTTTAAACTGTAAGGCTTGGAGGGACTTAGGGTAGGTTGTTTGGGCTGGGGAGGTGCTTTCTAAGGTGATGCAAAATTTAATGATTTTTTCTTTTTTAAAAATGTATTTGGGCCAGCGAGATAACTCAGCAGTCTAAAGTGCCTGTTTAGGCAAGCTTAGGCGAATGCACAGGGACCAGTTGTTCCCTGGCATCAGATGCTGCACCAGCCCTGCTCCCAGGGTGAGCTGAGCCAGCCACACACACAAAAAAAATGTATTTATACTTACCTAAGTGTCTTTGGCTGGCTGTTTATGTGTAGTAACAGCCCCATAATACCCTTTCCCTCAAGTGCATTGTATTGGTGCCTGCTAATAACTTTAGTGAGAATTGGGGTAGGCTTGGGAAAGCCTGTGGCTAGCAGAGGATTTGGGGGCAATTTAGGGTCAGAAAACGTATGCAGCTGACAGTCTGTGCTCAGCTGTCATGTGGCCATGGAGAATGGGGACTGGCCAGCTAAATGAGAAAGTGGGTTCAAGAAAATTAAGAAGTCACACTGAAGCACTCACCTCGTGCCAGCAGCTGTACATGATGGTGTATACTCTCTCTGAAGCCAGATGAGGCCTGTAGAGACGTAGGCCCTGGGCAATGTGTTCAGCAGTCT